CGTTGCCGTTGCTGCTGAGCGCCCCATTAGACGTCGTCGTCGTCTGCTCTTCTGTAATAGCATCCTTGGACATCTTGCCCGCCTTAGCAGCGGTGCTCGTGCGTCTCGTCAAGCGCGTCACGGCCTGTGTATCGATCGGCGAGCGGCTGCGTGTTCGGGCGCGTCGAAACTCGGGGGGCTCGGGTAGATCCTCATCGGGCTCCTCCTCGAGGGGCTGCGGGGTGGGTGTCCGTCTCCGGGCAGCCGAGCGTGTAACGGGGCCCATGTAATCGGCAGCGTCACGCTCGGATGGGGTGGGACTCGGCGAGATGACGCGGGGCGTCTCCGGGATTTTGGATCGGAAGGACATGGTGAAGGAGAATGGTGGGAGGGCGGAACAGCGGACGGCGCCGACTACGATGCGACTGAGAGCGTTGAAGCCGGAGGGCCAGAAGGTATTGGGTATTGTAGAGTGGAGATGTTTATCACGGCGCGATGAGCGCACCGTCGTGATGGGTTCTGACGGAGATGAAATTGTGAAGGTGTTGGGGGTGTCGTAGTGAGAGGATCCGTTAGTGGGAATATTGTGTTGCTTTTTCCCCAGATCTAGAAGATGTTGCTCGTGGTCGTCGTGGTCGTGGCTATGTCGTAGATAGATGTGGCGTAGACCTTGGCCGTTATGTTCAAGACCAAGATTCTGCTGGTGGTGGTGATGGTGATGGTGATGGTGATGGTGTAGCTGCTGGTTCTGGTTCTGGCCGTAACCCTGACTCGGGCTCAGGCTCTGACTCGAATTCCGTTTCGGGGGACTCGGGCTACGTTTTGGCCGAGACTTGTGAGAGTGGTGAGAGTCGAGAGTGTTTATTGAATCCAGATTGATTAACAAGGGTGCAACGGAGGTTGGATCCCCCGCCGCATGATGGGTTCGGAGATATAAGGTATTGATGACCGTGGCCGTGACCGGGGCACGCACACATGTGGTACAGACTACCTACAGTACAGTACAGGTCTTAGAAGTACAGGCTTGTGAGAGACTGGGCCGAGTGATGGATTCGCCAATTGGGGGGGTTAACTCGACGGGCGTGACTAGGCCGCTGAGACAAGGAGAGAACAGAAGAAAATAGAGAGTCGCGTGACACTGGAAATGAGAAAAAGAGGATACTTGCTAAGACCTAAACGAGGCTTTTCTTCAGGATCGTTCGTTCGTTGTGTCGCTGGTTCTTGATCAAGTTTGGCGTGTGTTGGCTTTGGCTGCAACGGTTGGAGATTTTTCGTCTGGGGCCAGAGCCGGAACTCTCCAGATACGTACCGATCTGTGGCGTTGATCTCAGTTCAGTTCAGTTCAGTCCAGTTCAGTTCAACCCACACAACCTGGAAGACACCGCCTTTTTCCATAACTAGATGTCTTTACTCTAGCATGTGATGATCTGCAAGAGGGTCTGTTGAAACAAAACACCTCGGTCTTGGAGATGTTATCAAGTAAATTTTGCTAAAATATTCGTATTACAGCAGAGTCTGATGGCTTGTGAAGGACCATATAAAATTAAAAAAACAAGATTATATGTCAATCCTGGCACTCACAAGTCTCCGGCTCTTCCGCAACTGGCCTGACTGCTTCTTGTGCGATATCTGCCTACGACTACCAACAAAATGGCATGTCAGCTGCCACATTTGAGCCAAATTGAATCTTTCATCAGGGACCGTCAAGTCCCACGTCATTCATATGGACGACAAGACATCATATCCGAGTGAGCACGTGCCATGACAGGACAGAATGCTACTTTAGCCACATGTCGCATGCGACTGCGCCACAGGCGGCACGTGGTGATAAGATAAAAATTTCAAGAAATGTTTCGCGCAAAAGATGCCAAAGAAGGCCCCTCTATGCGCTTTGGATCTGTAAAGACAGACCGTAATAATAATTCTTATAAAATTACAAGACTCGGTCTCGTTTTAAAATGGCTTCAGAAAAGGTGAAGAAGAGAAGCCCAAGAGCTTGGGATGCCCTTAATCCCCCTCTTGCAGAATGGATTCGCGATGCTGTCGCAACCATGGGCTTCAGCCAAATGACGCCCGTCCAAGCTGCAACACTACCGCATTTCCTCGGAAACAAAGATGTTGTGGTTGAGGTATGATACTGCTGCTGTTGAGTATGCGATTGGCCTTCTAACTTGTTTGTAGGCTGTCACTGGCAGCGGAAAGACCCTGGCCTTTCTCATCCCTCTTGTACAAAAACTTTTGCGACTTAGCGAACCCACGAAGAAGCACCATGTTGCTGCGATAATCGTCTCTCCTACTCGCGAATTGGCTGCTCAGATTCACACTGTTCTCGTCAACTTGTTACAGTTCCACGAAGCCTCGGCTGAAATACTCCCACACCTCAAAGGCGACGAAAAACGACCTTCTACCACTGTACCCGCCATCGTCCCCCAGCTGCTCGTCGGAGGCACCACAACTACCGCGCAAGATCTGAGTTTCTTCCTTCGATATAGCCCAAATGTTCTTATCTCATCACCCGGCCGACTTGTCGAACTCTTATCTTCACCTCACGTCCACTGCCCTCAATCATCTTTTGAGGTTCTCGTTCTCGATGAGGCCGACCGACTTCTTGATCTTGGCTTTAAGCCTGATCTGCAGAAAATTCTATCACATCTTCCAAAACAAAGAAGAACGGGTCTTTTCAGCGCCAGTGTCAGTGAGGCCGTCGGAGAGATTATCCGAGTTGGTTTACGAAATCCCGTCAAGATCGAGGTCAAGGTCAAGATGAAGGATGGTGGGATTCTTGAAGACAGGAAAACACCTGCCAGTCTCCAGATGGCATATATGGTCAAGCCTGCAAGCCAAAAACTTCCTGCTCTGGCAGAGCTTCTTCGACAACTACCTATTAAACCCCAACGGAGCATTGTTTTCTTGTCAACATGCGCTGCCGTCGATTACTTCCAGCACGTTCTGCCTGCGATCCTACCAGACGGCTTTGCACTGGTACCTCTACATGGAAAGCATCCAGCCAAAGTACGGGAGAAGAACTTTAATCGCTTTTTGAACTCCGTTGCCCCTACAATACTACTTACAACCGATCTGGCAGCTCGTGGATTAGATATTCCTCAAGTTGACTTGGTGGTTCAGATCGATGCTCCTTCAGATCCCAAGGCGTTTATTCACCGCAGTGGCAGAGCTGGCCGTGCAGGCCGGAAAGGTTTGGCGGTGGTCATGTTGCATCCTGGACGAGAGGAGGACTACGTGCAATTTTTGGAGATTCGCAAGACGCCGATTTCAAAGCTTGAAAAGCCAACTGTTTTCACATCAGAGGAGGATGCTGTGGCTGCTACAAAGAAGATGAGAGATCTGGTGTTGACAGATAGAGCACTTTTCGACAAGGCTCAGAAAGGATTCGTGAGTTGGGCTCGAAGCTACGGCGCTCATCAAGCAACGTCCATCTTCCGCGCAGCCGATCTCGACTGGGCTGATCTCGGTAATGCATGGGGACTGCTTCGCATGCCCAGGATGCCTGAGCTCAAGAGCTGGAAGGGCGACAAGATGTGTGGTCTCGAAATCGACTGGGACAATTACGCATACAAGGAGAAGACACGCGAGCAAGCACGAAAAGCAGCTCTCGAAGAGGAAAAGTCTGGCGAGAAGAAGGACAAGAGCGACGAGACAAAGCGAAAGCGAAAGAACAACGAGGCATGGAGCGCTAAGCTCGAAAAGGAGGATGAGAGAGTAGAGCGCAGGGAGAAGCGACGTAAGCGCCGTGAGGCTGAGGCTACATCCAAGATGACGGATGAAGAGAAGGTTAAGCAGATGGAGCTTAACGAACTCATCGCCGAAGTCAGGAGACAGAACCGCGAAAAGGCTGCTGCCGAAGCTGCAGCGGCTAAGAAGGACCAGGAGGATGAGTTTGCGGGCTTCGATGACTAAGGCACTTTAGTTAGTGAGACGAGATAGGAATATACCCCGTTGTTTGGTTAACTTGAGACATGTTTTGGGTTTGGTGTACCTGAGGGTAAGGCAGAATGGGAGTGATTTGTGTGAGGACGACGTGGACATTGCGTGGCTTGGCTGTGAGAGCAAGGGACTATACGCGTATAGGATTTGGGGGATGAATACGAAAATTCAAGGGATCCGATGAACGCGTATTGCAATTCTTTTGTAGATGGCTCTTGTATGTTTCCTACGGGGCTCTCTGGCAACAAAGGACAAACCTGAATGAGATTTAGATGTTCTCTTTTGTAAGAGAGGCCAAGGCCATTCTTGTACGTCTCTTTTGGGGACAATATATGATGTCTTCGTTCCTGGTGTTGTGATGGTGTCAGCGGCATTCCGGCATATGCTGCCTTGGCATCACCACCAAAAAGGCAAGATACCGATTGGAGGAGCGGAAATATGAGGTTAAAACATTTCTAAAGCGGTTTAAGTCTATTCAAATCGCCAGTTACCTACGCAATAGTCCACGTAACGTGGCCTCCTTGTAACCCTTCTAGTGTATTACTGTAAGGCTGATAGAGGGAACGAGCTTCTATTTTGAGATGGACAGAGCGCAGCGCTTGGTACCGAAAGCGAATGTTTAATTAATTATCGCCAGTTTTGGAGTTTAAACCACTAAAGATGACATTCAGTGCTCTTGATAAATTGGTCATGTCTGGTTCTCTAGATGGATCATGCTTAGCTAGACCTTACTCACTACTTGGGCTTTCTGTCCACTTGCATGACTAAAGTCATTGATGGTTTCGGAATCATTCCAACGTCAACACTCCGCTTTGTCAACAACACGTCCATTGATGATCACCACTGAAGCCACAACAAAATCAAACGCTCCTCCACTGAAGTAATACGACGAGGAATACGATTGGAGTCCCGGAAACTAAAGCTGCCAGCCAATCAGGACGCACGCTCCAATTAGAGCAAAAACATACCAGGACTAGCCAGGACAGAACGCCATACCATGACTTGTGCCTGCTGATCGAGAGCAATTCTTTCGCCCCCTGATCACTCTCACTCCCCGTGCTTCCTCTCTTCTTCCGATGCCTCCGAGAACCTCCGGTTCCGGGTCCGGGTCCGGGTCCGGGTCCGGCGCCGCTACTGCCAAGCTCCGCCGGGCACATCGCAAGTCCCGGAACGGCTGTTGGGAGTGCAAGAGACGACATATCAAGTGCGATGAGAATCGTCCTGCCTGTAGTAACTGCGTCGTCAGTGAGAGGACATGTTCATTTCCTGCTCAGCCCACTCCAGCCGCTGCACCAACTCCGCCAGAGCAGCCTGTGTCTTCTTTCAACGAGCCTCTGAGTACCAGCCAGGTTGAGAGTCCTGCCGAGAGCATCTCGAGCACTGCAGCCTCTTACAGGCCTTCTTCAATACCGCCTCCGTCATATCTTGCACCAAACTCTAACAACTCTGGCTTCTCGTCGAATGTTGATGAAGGCCCGCATTCGACTTCGCTGCCATCTTTCACAGAATCCTTCGCTGCTGCAGACTTGTCTGAGTCGCCTTTATCAACGTCACTATCAGACGCTCTTCCTACGCCATCCTTTACTAACAAGCACCTCATACTATTACATCACTTCCGCAAATCTCTACTATTCGATGTTGACAACGTCGACATCATCATAGACCTCGCCCTCGACTGGTCATCAGAAGCGCCGTACGCTCTGGACCAGCTACTTGCTATATCAGCAGATCACCTTGCCATGACTCTTGTCGAGAGTTCAGCTGAAAGCGCAGCTTCTTGGAGACGTATCGCCACCGAGTTGCAGACTCGAGCTCTTACACACTTTAACAGAGACAGCCAAGACCCTGCCAGTTACGAGTCTCGCTTCGTTCCTCGTTTCCTCCTCTCGTCTTTGCTGAGCTTACATATGCTTTACGACACACTCACACAGTATCGAGCCACATTTCACGTCTTTATAGAGCGGTTCTGTGACTCTGTATGCCTTCATCGCGGCGTAAAATCGAGTTCATCGCCAGGCTACCAAACTCTTATCAGGTCTCCTCTAGCGCCATTCTTTCTAGGGGTAAAAAACGCAGCAGAGCTCGGTGATAAGGGCGATGAGTGTGCCCCTCTCATAACTCTCATCGAAAACTCTGATCTGAGTCCATCAGCTGTAGAAGCCAGCAGTACAGCCGCTCGTACATTACAGTGGGCTTTCAATGTTCACAGGAATCTGCCCAGGAGTATAAACGTACAAGCTGCCTCGGCATTTCCAGTTGTGTTGGACGATAACTACGTAGAGCTAGTTCGGAAGCATCGCCCCGAAGCATTGCTCGTCTTGGCTTATTATGGTGTTCTGCTCCACCGATGTCGACATGTCTGGTTGTTTGGCGATTCAGGCGCGTTTCTGATACGTTTGATTACGGATCATCTTGGAAGCTACTGGAAGGATGCTTTGCGATGGCCCCTTGAGGAGTTGGAAAGGGATCAAGGATGACAAGGTTGGCAGAGGACATGACTTTAATCCTGTACCGATGACGTTCAGAACGAAGGCATCGAGATGCTTTCACAGGAGAAATGCTGTATGCAAGCCCGTGAAACACAGCATTCGAACAAAAAGCAACAAAGATGCCGCCCATCTTAGGTCACAGCCCTTTGTACCACCGCCCAGAGAGTCCCATCAGCCAGACGTCAACATCTGAACATTCAAGGACGTGATTCTTCACGAAATCCTTCGACAGTGCTGTCAAATACCGACCAAGGCTAAGCTGGCCTAGGTAGCTTAAGCCTGGGCTAGAATATCATAAACTTAGAGGGGTGCTTTTGGTGGCAGGAAAAGATACCATTTTAAGGAACCATGACCTTGGTCTTTCAATACAAGTTAAATCACTTCACAAACACTTACTTCCATCTGTGATACCTACATCAAACGCCAGTGAACATCTCATTCCATTCCACGGACAAGAGCACACACTCAACTGATGAATGCCATCTCATCTTCTCTGTACGATTATCCATAGTGTAAGCTATAACGATATCTACATGAGCCCAGCCTGTTTCCCCTTCCTGCGAACACAATACATACAATACTCTGAATCTTTTGCATGTCAATTCTGTTTGATTTATTCATAAAAAGGCGGAATGGTAATAGCTCGAGCGTTAACGTCGTCAAATCAAAAGTCAAACAACCGACAGCAGCGAAAACTTCAACCAGGGCTCCTTGATCTTTCTCACACTCTCTGTTTGTTTGTTTTTCTTTCGAAGTTCCTCCCTTGAGACTTCCAAGGGTAGGGCGGATCCAGACTGGGCTTTCTTTTTTCTCTTTTGCGCCGTCGGGCAAGGCGGATGGCCACTCTTCTATGGAAGGAATATGGTATCATAACAGGAAGGAAATTGGGCGTGGGCGAGATGTCAAGACATGCATGAGATGGAGAGGTGGGCCGCTGGGTTGCAGCTTGAGTGCAAACTCTCAGAGACCGTAGAATTCCCAACCATCACCAGCCGCATCCGTCGTTCCCGCTTCATCGGCGGCATGGGGCGCAAATTCAGTCCGAAGTTCTTCGTTGAGTCATAGCTCCTCATCTTCCAGCTCAGAGGGCTTGAGAAGACCGCCAACCTTCTGTCGTCGTTCCATATCAGCTGTCTTGGCGTCCTGCTCCTGTTGCTCCTTTTCGACAACGAAGAGCTCAGCGTTATCGCCAGCAAATTCCTTGAGGGAAACAAGGAAATCACGGAGGTTGAGTCGGAATTTGTCGTACTGCGTGTTAAGCGTGAACAGGCCTTCGACGAAGCTTGTGATTTGGTTCCTATCTCAAGATTAGCTTAGTGACATGAAAGGAAGAGCTGATACGTACGCTTGCAGGTTGCGGAAGGCGTTTTGTAAGAGGTTAGCTACGAAGTTGGCAACAAACTCTCGGTTGTCGGTTCCAGCTTGAGCCTGATCAGGGCTGTAGATAGGACCCTGGATCTTAGGCTGAGATCCATCGGCGGGGTTGATATAGTAAAAGAGCTTCATCAACAACATGGATTGTGTCTTGAAACCGGCCTTGTGATCGTTATCGGTCACAACGAAGAACACGTCCTGGAGGATGGTGATAAAGAATCGCTGGAAGAAAGCGTTGGCGGTCTGCACATCAGTCTTCTCAGCAATGTTGTTGATCAGCTCCAGAGCCATGTTAAGACCAGCTGCCTCGACATCTCGGTTGTCGTGCTTGAAAGCCCATGAGCATGAGTCGATAACAAACTTGAACTGGTTGTTGTCGAGCTTGAGTAGGGCGGGGAAGCAGTGCAAGTTGATGGCTCGGAGGAGGTTGAAGAACTCGACTCGGTGTTCCGGGAACTCAGAAAAGTCCTTGTTGATCATCTCCAGAGTGCACTCAAAAACATTCTGCATGATAGTAGGAACCTGGTCCTCCATCAAAGCCTGTTACTCGTTAGTATAAAATTCTGCAAATATGATCAAGGAAATACTGACCGAAAGCTTGGTGATAATAGTAGAGCAAGCCTTGAGCACCTCGGCATCTCGGGCGCCAGGGACGTTGCGATTGTAGTCGACAAGAACAGATTCTAGCAGGGGAGGAACCATCTGGGCACGGACAGCCTGAAGATCCTCTGCCTTGTCAACATACACCTCAATGAGCTTGAGGATCTCCTTCTTGATGGTTCGAAGACCCCGGACCTTGGGCATCTTGGTAGCGAGTTCGCCATCGCGAGCCACAGCCTCAGAGATCAGTGTACTCGTGGCGTTGTACATCTGAAGCATGTCATGGTAGATGCGGCCAATCTGGGGATAGAAATAGGATCCAACAGATGAGCAAGCAGATACATTCGTCTTCATGATGTTTCCAATGACCTTGATAGTCTCGGCATCTTGAAGGATAGTTGGGTTTACTGTTGCCTGCTTGATGATCTCGTCCCAGGCTGCGTTGGGAATGGCCATCAGGTCGGCAAGGAGTCTCTCCTGCTGGTGCTTGTTGCCCTGAGCGGCAACCATGTAACCGCAGGCTTCGTAGAAGGTGTGTACTTGTTGAGGTGTCAAGTCGCATGTGATCTTGCCCATGTTTCGAACAATCTCCTCAATGAAAGGCTCCTGCTCGCTGGGTTGCAGGGCGACAAAATGACGCCGACACTGGCGGGCGATCTTAATGAACGTATCGCAAGCCATGTCCTGGACACCTAAACCAATGTTGATTAGCATTTTCACAGTCAGCTCAAGCTGTTTTCACATACCCTCATGCGACTCGTGCATAAACTCGAACAGCTTATTGACAACTGTCTTGAGGAACTTCCAATGAGCCTTGAGGAAGCGGGGGTACTGTCCAACAATGTACATAATGTTACTGGCGACGACCGCCTTGTTGTCCTTGCCTCGCTTCATCTCAGTAAGACCGAGGAGGTCCTTAATGACAGTAACAAGGAACCTCTTCTCGGTCTCCTCGTTCATCGCTAAAGAAATCGAGCCGATGGCCCAGCAAAGAACGTTGCAGTTGTGCCAGGACCACTCGCTTCCGTCGACTTGTCGAGCGAGCTTCTCGGTCATAATGTTTTCTGTGTCGACCACGTCCAAATGTGTCAGGTAGACCAGGCACTCTCGAATCGTCTTGTAAAGTTGTACTGTGTCACTCTCCTTGACGAACTCTCGGACAATTTCACCCTCATCGTTCTCAACAATCAAGACTTCCTCAGGACGGACCATCTTCTCGATCATAACGACTCGAAGGTTCGAGAGGACCTCGTTGTATTTGTGCTTTCGAAGAGGGTAGTTGTTGAGCATCGTAGGGTTCGGGGCGCCGCTTCCAGACATTCCTGCGCCAACTGCCATGAGAGGGTTGAGGTCGGTCATGGGAAGCTGTTGCATTTCCTCGTAAAGCTCCTGGACGAGCTTGAGCCAATAGTCGAGGCAAATCTTGAAAATTTCTCGATCATCGATCTGTGATATCCTAATAAGATAGTAGTGACCATGAATGAGGAAATCGCGGTTGGGGAGTTTCTCGATAAGCTATGACAGTTATGTTAGATTCGTCCGAATATCAAACACAGCATAAAACCTACATTCAAGTGCATTCCGAAGAAGTTGCAAAGGAAGAGAGCCAGGTTTTGTATGAACTCCTGATCCCTAGAGTTGCTGCTTGGATATGTGCTCTTGAGATCAAGAGAGACGGGAATGATGTTAGCAATGGTAGTCAAGGTCTCGGTGAACATCTTAACAAGCTGCTCGTCGTAAGAGTTGGGCTGGCCGGGGCCGCCAGTCTGAAGGCCACCAATCTCAGTAAGGCACTGCATAGTGACGTTACGGAACTCGGGTGTCGAGAGGAAACGGGTTCGCAGGGTCTCGATAAGCGGTGTCTCGAAGATGTATCCCAAGGGGATCCAGTTGCAGAATCGCAGAAGGGTCTCGAGGGTCGCCTTGATCAGACTAGGCTGTGTGGCCGTGTTGAGGACCTCCTGGCAGAGGTTGAAGATTTGCGAGAACTCGGCGCACATGGTCTGCTTGAGGTTGCGTGTCTTGGTCGATGTCATCTGCTCGGCTGAGTAGTCGAAAACTTCCTCCGAGAGCAAGCGAAGAATGATCATGTTATTCTCGCAGATGGATAGATTGGAGTGGCAGGACGAGATGATTTCGTTGATGAAGGTAGGCCAGTTGTGAGGCCACTCCTGCTTGAGGACGGAAACGAGGACGAGGTTTAGCTTGTTGAGCAAGGTCTTTTGCTGGCGCAGCGACTCTTCGGTGCTCGAGCACTGGATAATGAACTGAACGATGAAGTTGCGGATTCCTACGAGTTACAGATCGTCAGAGTTGGTTGCTAAGCTGTTATCGCGGTGAGAACGGACCTTGGCACTGCTCCCGAGGGAGGACCTTCCATCTTGTCAAGATCACATTGTCCAGAACCTGCAGACCCAAGTCTGTCAAAATTTGTTAGTCAAGTGGATTCACAAGTCAAGCATTCGCATAGATCGAAGGTAGGAGAGCCGGCTTGAACGCAGCACAGCATAGGAAGTGGCGCAAAGCCGAGGCTACACACATTTGGTTTGAGGGTACTGCGCATCCGAGAGGATCTTGTCGACCATGAGCCACGCATCGGGGTCTTCTTTGAACTGCAGCTCAAGTCAGTAAAAAAGCTCTGCACGAGCCGAGAGCTTGATCTCTGTACGAACCTGGTTGAGAGCAGCTTGGGCGGCTTTTTGCTACACAGTTAACGAGGTCGAGTTAGCTATCGTTCCTTACTCATGTCGACGCGCGGGGTCCACGGTTGGTAAAAACCGACGCCCAGAAAGACTACCTACCTGCTCACCGCGCCCCTCGTAGAAGGAGCGGACGAGGACGTCCAGCTCTTCAATGGAGGCGGCCATTTCGTGTGGTTATTTCGGGTTCAAGAGAGGATCGTTACGAGGTAAGAGAAAGAGGTTGGCGGTCGGAGGTGGTGGTTGTGGTGGGCGAACGAGACGAGGCGACGGGAGGCGGGGGGAGAGAGAAGATCCAAGCAAATACCAGCCCCA